TACTAAGGGACCAAGGTGGTCTCGGGACCATCCAAGAGCTCGGATAAATGACTGTGAGAACCTCCTAGGACCACCCAAGTCTGGGCAGTGGTAGAGAAGAGCAGTAGCCATGGCTGATGCGCTGTGTAAAACTGAAGGAGGAAGAAGAAAATGTTTTTTTTTTAAATAACTTGACCAAAACGACATCGTTTTGAGCCAAGTCATTAAAAAAATTTAAAACCCACGTGAGAGCCTTCACGTGATAGCACTCACCATCTTTTATTAAAAAGTCAAACAATTTGAAATTTAATAAAAGCCCATGGCTTTTCATTAGTTTGCTTTCAATCAAATTCAACTTTATCAAATATAATATACCTAATTGCGCAACCTAAGCCAGCGAAGGCCATCAACAGCAATTTTAGAATTTCTGTAAGTTTTCTAGTTTAGTGTTAGTTCATACTTATTTTTAGTGTTAGTTCATATATATTTATTGTTAATTTGTTAAGATTTTTAGTTTTAGTGTTTTATTTTATTTTTTAAGAACACTAATTAAAAACAAAAGGCTGAACAGTGAATTCATATATGTAAGGGTCTTTGATAATGGTTGGTAAGAGTTTTTGATAAAAAGCTAAACAATCACACACTAACGGGCTTTAAACTAAGTTTAGCCTTATTCATTGTTAATTTCTTAGGATTTTTTCATATCTATTTTAGTGTTAGTTCATACATATTTATTGTTCATTCGTTAGGATTTTCTGATATTACTTGAATTGTTTTACAGTGTTTTTTTTTTGTCGAATATTGTGGTACAGTGTCAGTTCATACATATTTTTTGTCGAAGTTGTAGTTTGCCATTTATTTTTCAATGTTATTTTCGTTTTTTTTTTTGGAAGTTGTATATAAGGACCACCCTATGTTAAAATCCTGGATCTGTCACTGTATATATATTCATTTGGTACATGAGATTCGAAGTTTGAATTTTACATATTTTTAAGTTTTCTTCATATTATGTTAAATCGTAAATCAACCTACTAAGCGAGGGGCAACGGGCTTCGAGTTTTAAGGTACGCATATAAAACTTGATTTACATGTTAGGTTGATTTAGGCAGATAAAACATGATGTTTTGGCCACAAGCAAGCCATTCCGTCGCTTTTGTGGCAAAGTAGGGCGAACTGCTCAGGCTAAAAACCGCCATTCCAATGGACAAGAAAGGTGGCCGGTGAAATCTGCACAGTTTTATTCTGTACTTGCTTAGGAATGCTGAGAGCAATGCTCTGGTATTAATATTATGCTTTACTTGTATTCGGTTTTCAATCACTACAGCTTCATATCTGCATGATAGCTGCATATATGTTTTCTGTTGACATATTCTCTAGCCGAAAGGTTCAGATGTGACGCCGCTCATACCGTGCTCATGGCGGAATGAATCGTGAGTGTTTTGGACATCCTGAGACTCAGCTGGCTAGTAGGAAAGCGAAGGGAAAGCTCTACCTCTGCGCAGTGGTGCTTCTTCTTAAACAACGACAGTTAAACATGTCATGAGAGCTGTTGGTACTTTTGTTGTTTCTCGAAGCTCATGTGGAATGTGAAACATGTTTGAACAACTTCAAGTTTAAGTTGTTTGCCTTCGGTGCCCCCACCACATAGTTGCTACAACTTTTACTTATGAATGAAAAATTATAATGGATGATTTTGGTCATGGCATTTGCTTTATGTACATAAGTTGTTCCCAATGTTCCCAAATCCTATACATTGGGCTGAATTCTCTAAAGTACATGTTTTGAGTATGGTATACATTGCACTTGAAGCGGCTCATTTCTAGTCGTTAAATGTTCTTGGATTCTTTAAATATATTCACCAGTTAAGTTCATCAATTTATGTTTTATGGATGTAATTTAAATTTTCATTACTTCAACTAGCTCAAAGTCCAGTGGTTCTCTCGACGATGATCAATTGGTTGTTAGTCTAATGATACTCAATTTCTAGGTTATCGAGACATGTACAAGTTTGAATTCCCTTATTCTCCCTTGATAAAAGAAAATGATTTTTAGCCAAAAGGTTTATGAGATTGACATAACTCTTCACTTTGATCCCTGAAATTTAACATCGTTAGAAGTGGTTCTTGAATTTGTCCATCATTAATCATTTTGGTCTTTATGTGAAAAACCTCCATTGGATAACGTAAAATGATAAAAATATCTTCAATTTTTGTCAAATCATTTTGACACATTGTTTATTAAATTGAAAGTATTTTTATAATTTTGGTCATTATTTAACAAAAATTTTTCATAGAATGATCAAAATGACTAATGACAGACAAACTCAGACACCACACCTATCGATTTTAATTTTTAAGAATCAAAGTAAGAAGTTATGCTAAATTTAATGATCATTTTACATAAAAAAAAATAGAAAAAAATAATGGTTCATAGTCCACACGTTAAATTAGGTCGGTTGAGTTCTTTTCCCGTTTAATAATACAACTTTTGAGCAATTAATTACTTTCCCTCTTCTGTCTTGTTCCAGACCAATTAAACATTGAAAGAAATTTAATTTTTGTTGATAAGATTTGTCTTATCATTTGACAGTTTCAGCTGCTATGTGACGAACTCAATCCAGGTATTATATTTAGAACAGGAATGGAGATTGAGTACCATCCTAAGGTTTGTTTTAAGATATTTTTAAAATAGCTGAAAATGTTTTTGGTAAAAAATATATTTGAATAAAATTATTTGTAAAATATAAATATGGTTCGTTTGGATGTACTTTTAAAATGACTGAAAGAGCTTTTAAAGAAAATGTTTTTGGGTTCTAAAAGCACTTAAAGTGCTTTCTGCAAGAAGTATCAATTATGTGCTTCTTCCAAAAAGCATTTTACGTGCTTTTTCAGGATTTACTTGCATTTTTATTAAGGATTGGTTCTAAAATTATTTTTACCAAAAATGCTTTGAATTATTTTAAAAGCACATCAAAATGAGCTCGTAAACACTGAAAAGTACTTTTCAAATCCAAAATATTTTGTCTAAAACCCTTTTCAGTAATTTTGTTAAAAACACTTCAAAACGAGTACTTAATTTGGAGTCAATCAACATAAACAAAAAAGTTCATCTCTTTATTTTATGAAGAGACAAGTTTGGTAACATGTAACTATCACAACACTAATGTTTTTTGTGATTGATTTTAAAAGGTTGTAACACATAATTAATGGAAAATAAATTTCTATAAATGGAACTATAGAATATTACCATAATAAATAGAAGAATGTTTAAAGACTTTACATGAAAGTAACACAAAAATGTATTATGCAACGATGAAAACCATGCACAATATAAGATCCATTCTAAAGACAAATCGCATTATCCCATCAAAATTTTGACCAATTTTATTCATTTGCACAAATGGTGTATAATTTCAAAAATTTGACCATTTTTTTTAGTATATCAATATTTTTACACCAGGGAGAGTTCAACTAAGCCACAAAATGAGTAACCTAATTTGGTATTGAATTCGTCATTCACGAGATTCGAACCTAAGACCTCTTACTTCTAATACCTTCAATTGAGAGATTTTTCAGCATTTAACATAACAAATCCTAATTTGGGGTTTTAACTTTTGTTCATTTTCTTTAATTGTTCAAACAAATTTAAAACCAATGTGCTCGTTTGTGTAGATACAACTCAACTAACTACGATCAAGAAAATTGTGTAGCCATTAAGAACATACATGAAATGTTGCTAAATAATTTGTCTGTTATACCTGTTCAATACCCATTAGTATATCAATTATGCACTTTTTGTGCATTTTTAAAGCGTTTTGTTAAATATAATTGCCATGTTGAAACTCTCAACAACCAACTAAGAAAAACGCTAATGGGACTTTTTAAAAAGTGAGACTCTTTGCCGCCTCATGTTCTTGTGCTAATTTTTGTGCCAATATTATAAAATATTGATAGTGAGTCAATGGAGAGTTCCACTTATCATTTCTCATCGACTAATATAAACTTATCAAACATGCATGAGACACACACTATAATTCTCAATTAATATACTTAAATATCAACTGAGCACGTGAAAAATGCGCATTATTATCCGCTTAAAAATCATAAAATATCCAAGGAAATTGTTATTGGCGCTTCAAAAATATCATTTTGCACTCTAAACTTTCTATAATTAGAAAGAAAAATACACTCATGAGGAGTGTATAATGAGATTTTTGGAGTGCTAATAACAGTTCACAATATCCAATCATATTAAGAAATGCAATCAACCCAAAATCTCACTTTCCATTGAAATCAAATTTGTCAAAAACGTTAAAAAACCATGGGTCCATTGGCAAATAAGAGAAATTTTTCATTGTGATTGGAACATGAATGATACATCACGTGTTTTTATATAAGAGGTGGGAAATTGTATTTTTTAAGTTATTAACTTTTTAACACACACATCCCACAATTTATATAGTGACACATGATGTACTATCATGTATTCCGGTCACACTGAAAAATATGTCGGCAAATAAGAATTCAAAGCCCCCTTGCATGAGTGGCAAATAGGGAATCAAAGCCCCCTTGCATGAGTACTCTCCCTACACAAAACCTTCTCACTCCACCAAGTGTAAATGCAAGTGCAGCAAAACAATGATAAAATTTTTATTGTGTCCGGAACACATATAATACATCAAGTTTCATTGAAAAACTTATTTTTAAGTTGTTAATTTTTAACGCACCCATTTATATAGGGATACTAAAACATGTCTCCAAAGACAAGAAACCCCACTAGATTCAAGAAACCAAACCGCCTTGTGTCTTCCCCCAGCGCATTTTAGGAAAAACCATGCAGGACCCACTAACCTGCGCCGTCGTCTACCCCTGTAAAATCCATCTTGGGGACATCTATCTTCCATGCACCAACCGAACACAAGGAGAGGAAATATATAATATTAATTTTATTTTTTTTTATCAATTTTTTAAAAATAACAGAAAACTATAAATGTACAAATACAAAAAACAAGACCCATAAAATAATTAAAATCTTTCTCTCCGTTTGTTTCTCTCTCCGTTCGTTTGTTTCTCTCTCCTCATAGCATCTCTAGCAGAGAAAAAGGAAAACGAAGAGAGAGAGTGCCATGGTTTCAACGAGGCGAAGTGGATCTCTCTCCGGAAACAACAGCAAGCGATCGTCGTCTTCCGAGGACAAGCCCCCGTCGCCGAAACGACAGAAGGTTCTTCGTCGTTGGAAAAATCGGATTTTTGTTCTGTTCTTTGGGTTTATTTTTGGGGGAGGGTCAAAGATTGGGTTTTTGGGGGGTGGTGGTGGAATTTTGAGATTTAGGGTTTTGATTGGGTTCGATTTCGCAGGCGGATAATGGAAGTGCTTCGGACAAAGCGACTCCCGGGGTGGAGAACTCGAAGGAGCTGTGTACGCCTCCGCCGGCGGCGGCTGCCGATCCCGGAGAATGTGGTCCCGACGATTCTCCGCCCGCCGGAGACGGCGTGACTTCTGGAAAGACCGAGGCTACTGCGCCAGATGTGGCGGTGGCCGCGCCGATCGCGGAAGGTGGGTTCTTGGCGCGCCGACTTTTCATTTCTGTGTTTGTAATTTGTGAATTTTGGGTTTTGAGCTACTGTTTTGCTTGAATTTGGGTTGTGGGGTTCGGGTTCTGGTTGAAATTTGAAGTCTTGGAAATGTTGGTTTGGTGGTTTATGAAGGGTCTTCACCGGTGGTGGAAAAGCAGCGGAGGAGTTCACTCTCTTCCTGGAGTTTCTATCAGAAGCAGAGTCCGAGTTTGGATACGCCTTGGTGCAAGCTTTTGTCACAGTCTGCACTGGTAGTTCTTGTTTATATATTTTTTTAACTATAATACAAAGTTGAATAATTTGAACTTCTTGGGTGATTTTCGACTGAACTACTCTTTTGGTGTTTTGCTTCGGTTTTTTTTTGTTTTTGTTTTTGTGGCGCATTTTAATCCTCTTTGTTTTCAACTGCAGAATGTAAATATTTCTATTAGCGCAATGACTTTCACAATTGGTGCAAACAGACAGTGCAATTTTGCTCTGAAGGATCACACCATTAGTGGGGTTCTGTGCAAGATCAAGCGCACGCAGGTATACTTTGAGAACCCTGCGTATAATATTCTGTTGGTACTTTGGTGCGTCTGCGCCCAGAGGCTCGCAGACGGCAGAAGCTTTCATACCTGTTACTAAGTTGTGGTCAGACTATTTTTGTGGAACTGAGATATGGAGCGACCTACTTGGGTGTTGTTGGGTGTTTTTTTATATTTTAAACTTAATTAAAATGTGTACGTGACCTCTCGTTGTTTCTGATCAGCGCGAGGGCGGTGCTGTAGCAATTCTTGAAAGTACGGGAAGCAAGGGATCAGTGCAAGTAAATGGGACAAATGTCAAGAAAGGCAACAGTTGCGCGCTTAACCCTGGTGATGAAGTTGTCTTTGGTTCGGTGGGCAACCATGCTTATGTATCCTTCTCTTTCCTGGGTTGCTTACTTATCTGTTCCTTTTTTTTTTTTTTTTAATATTCTAAACTTAACTTCTGGGTAGCACTTGCGTCACTTTCACTCACTTTTATAACTTACTAGGCCTGTATAAGTTTGTGTCTATATGAATACTTTCCTTAAATTTTATCACCATAGATTTTTCAGCTACTGCTGACTGAGGCTGCAGTTAAGGGTGCAGAGGTTCAAGGCAGTATTGGAAAATTTTTGCATCTTGAAAGGAGGGCAGGAGATCCTTCAGCTGTGGCTGGGGCTTCCATACTGGCTTCTCTTAGCGCGAGGGCAGAACAATCGCGATGGAAGTCCGCAGCTCAGACCACCAGTAAAGTTCACCCCGGTGCTGAGGTACCAGCTCAGTCTGTCATTGAAGATGGTACAGAAGTTGAGCTTGATGGCCTAGAAAGCAGCTCAACTCCAGACAGAGTGACTGACAAAGCTGAAGATATCAGAGCAATAGACAAGATTCTTACTCCAGACTGCAACCCCGATTCTAGCATAGAGGCAGGCAATGTAAAACTCTCTGGGATGAATGATTTGCTAAGGCCTTTATTGAGGATGTTAGCTCGATCACCTAGTTATAAACTAAAATTGAGCAAAGGTATCTGTAAACAGGTATTGGAAGAAAGAAACGAGTGGACGAGGGATTCGCAATCAGCATCAACGTCAGGCATGTCTCTTCGGTGTGTTGCATTTAAAGAAGGCCTTCATGCAGGAATTCTTGATGGCAAAAGCATAGATGTCTCCTTTGATAACTTCCCATACTATTTGAGGTATTACTTTTTTTTTTTTTGATAAACAAGACATGTTTGTTTATTTATTAGAATGGCCGTGTAATATCTGCTTTGTGACGTTTATTAGTTTGATGTATACAATATAAGCTGTGTTGACAATACTGTTGTTGAAGTATTCGAGCCCAGACAATGAATCGTTTCTTTTGTTCTTCTTAAAGAACAATCATAATTTTGTACTCTCTTAGGTTTAGGTATTCATCCCCATTTATCTTTGCATCTATAAATTAGAATCTAGATATGAATATGTGAATCTACCTTTCTCTTTTGGCGGTACTTTGCTTTCTGTTCCCAACTATTTCTTTTATCATCTAATAATTTATAACGCTCAAATCTCTCTTATACTTGGAGAGATTTGTAGGGATGTGAATCAGCCAAGTGGATCATATTGAATAAAAACAATGTGGTTCTTTTCTTTGTCAATTTTTTTGGTTGACACTGCAAAATGTGAACCCAATTTTTTGGTTCACTCTCTAGTCATGCTTTTATGTGTTACGTAGCTTCAGTGTATGATTTTCGTTAGTGGTTGTGGTAATTATGAAAATGATACTTCTAAGTGATATAGTTACCATTCTGACATGCCTTTTCTTTTGCTATTGATTATTACACCGTGTGATTGTTAAATTCAAAGATGTACTTGTCATTGAGTTCATGTTATTCTCTTATTTCAGTGAGATACGAAGAAAGTCTTGATTGCAGCCTCATTTATACACTTGAAACATAAAGAGCATGTGAAGTATACTTCAGAGCTTACAGCTGTGAACCCTCGCATTTTGCTCTCTGGTCCTTCAGGTGTGGATATAACAAATTAAATTTAAAATAAGGCATTTATGATACATAGGTTTTGTTCCCGCAGTTGAGAATGTTTGTTTCTGAATGCCTTTTCTAGGGTCTGAGATATATCAGGAGATGTTGGCAAAGGCTCTTGCGCAGTATTTTGGGGCTAAGTTGCTCATATTTGATAGCCACTCTTTTTTGGGTGTAAGATAAACAAAACCTCCTTGACATTCACTCAACTTCTTCTTTGTAGTATACTTCCTTCTTGTGGTATGGAGACTAATTTAATCATTTTGTTTTTGTTCCATGGCGTATAAATTTTAATACTTTTGCTACTCGTCTTACCAATATTCTATTTTTGACTTCTTTTTTTTTTATTATACTTTCCATAGCTAATTAGTGGGAATTATCAATAACAAATGTTCAATAGGGTTTATCATCAAAGGAAGCTGAGCTGATCAAGGATGGATTGAATGCAGAAAAACTCTGCAGCTTGACCAAACAAAGTCCTGCACTGCCAGACTTGGCTAAGAACAATGATCTGTCAGCTTCTGAAACAGAGGCACCAGGATCATCAAATGCACCTTTGAATGACATGGAATCCCAACCAAAGATGGAGACTGACACCCTCCCCTCTTCCTCAGGGACATCGAAGAATTACTTGTTTAAAATAGGTCTGCCACTTTGCAGGACTTTCAGTTGCTCTTTTTCAATTTAAAAGTTTGCTTTTTTTTTTTTTAATTTTGTTTTAAAATTTATTTGTATATAATTTGGCGTGATTTCTTATAAACTACAATGTGCAGGTGACAGAGTAAGATTTAGTGCTTCATCTTCTGTTGCCTTGTATACTACATCATCTTCTTCACGGTATATTTCTTATAAACAGTTCAGTAGGGCTATTTTTTTTTTAGTTTTCATTTAACTGATACTTTTGTCTTCTGATGATATGCGTTAATTAAAACTGAACTCGATTCCTCTATCTATAAATTTCCTACTGTACTGATGTAATGTTTTAAGTTTGAGCTGTATATCACACAATTTTGATTAAGAGTAGATTCATCTACCAGTTGTTTAATTGATCTGATCCTGGCAATTTTGAAACCGTTTGGTCTGTATCCTGTTGTTTTTTTACTGTAAGAGGTGCATAAAACTTGTAGCGTATGATGAATTTTGGGTTTTGTTCCTTGGGATATTGTTATTCTCTTATATCAGTTGGTTGTTACTTTTTTTGGAATATTTACTGTTAATAATAGTGGAATGTAAATTTTGTAATGTATTCTGAAATCACTATTTCTTCTCTATGTAATTATGTAAGCTTCTAACATGCATTTACATGAGCATCGGTTACAACTGAGTATACTATTGTATCATGTTATCAGAGTGTAAACTTTGGTTGTCCCTATTATAAAGGCGGTCCACCTATGATATTGCACTAACGCTGGTACATATGCTATGCCACTGGTTATGCAGGGGCCCAGTGAGCGGAATGCGCGGAGAGGTTGTGCTGCTTTTTGAGGAAAATCCTTTTTCAAAAGTCGGTGTAAAGTTTGATAAACCAATACCTGATGGTGTTGATCTGGGGGGTCTATGTAAAGGCAATGGGTACTTCTGCAATGGTATGTATTTGCAGTTGTAGTTTTGCCTTCCTTAAGTTGACACACACATGCACACATATATATTCGAAACCTTGCTTATCCCCTCTTCTTGTAGTCTCTGATCTTCGATTGGAAACCCCGGGCACAGAAGATTTGGACAAATTACTTATCAACACATTGTTTGAGGTGGCATATCTTCCATCATAGACTGATTTTTCCTTTTCATCTTTTTTTTTTCTGTAAATCTTCTTATGAGAGCATTTCTTTCTTTAAAGGCTTCTGAAAAGTGAGAGCAGGAAATTCCGATTCATTTTGTTCCACATTCAAAGCCAGACTCGATAAGCTTCCAGATAATGTGGTAATTTAAAATTCCAAAACTTTCATTCCACATTCAGGAGAAGGTAATATTTATGTTGGTTTTGCATATATTTTGTGTGCAATTTGCTCTTTAATCCTATATCACAATAACACATTGTGAGAATGTAATATAATCTTATAGCATACTTGAAAGGAAAAAAATGGAACATTGGAAAGGAATTTGAAATGTACAAGCCTAGCCATAGCATCATGCTTATGTATTTAGCCTCATAATATGATATCGTCCGAGATAGTTGATCATGGAGAAGAAATGAATATTTAGATGCTGGATTTGTGCAAGTGTAAATACTCTTTAGAACCGCTTTCGAAGTTCTTTTATGATGTATAGAACCATCCTTCCCTATGTTTTAGACAATGCCATCCACAACATGTTTTGCTACCATTTCTTAGCCACTCTAGATAATGTCTCCCCTGCTGAAGCCCAATATTTTGAGCCAGTAATAGATATAAAGTAACACAACTGATACCGATTAACTCAATGGCATTAGGTAAAACCTATTGGTGGTCAGTTGGCAATTAATAACTGTTAAAATTGAATAAATTTTTTATGTGCTTAAAATTGAATGCTTATTTTGCTGCTTCTTTGAACATCACCCATTCTTTCAGTCGCACCCTGGCGGTTTGCTTTTCACAAAGTTTGGCAGCAATCAAACTGCTCTTCTTGACTTGGCTTTCCCGGTAATGTTCATACACCTCTAACATGTGCATTTGCTTATGTCTTTCATTTCCCCCTTTTCTTTTAATCCTTTTGCATAGCAGCTTAGTTGAATTATCTCTGCCTTAAAATTTTGGTATTTCTGGATGGTGGCCTTTTGCTGTTTTGAGTGTGGATTATTTGTGATTACAGGATAGTTTTGGAAGACTACATGAGAGAGGGAAAGAAGTTCCCAAGGCGACAAAACTTCTGACTAAACTCTTTCCCAATAAAGTTACCATTCATATGCCGCAGGTTTGTATATTGCTTCCTGTTACATATAGGTTTCTTTTTTCCTATTTGTGGGGCTTTCCTTATTATGCTATGGACATTGCAGGATGAAGTACTTCTTACCTCGTGGAAGCAACAATTGGATCGAGACGTTGAAACCCTAAAAATGAAGGGAAACTTGAATCACTTGCGTACTGTGAGTTTTTTTTTTTTTTTTTTTTGTGGCTGCACAAAGTTTTTTCTTATCATATATCTGGACTTTTTCCTTGGACACTGTGTAGTTAGGTCCATTTTTGTGATAGTTTGGGAATTCAGTTGCTTTATCTTTTTCTAGCTTGAAGAAATCATATGATGATATTCAAATCATTGTTTTGGAGGTTAAAATGTGAATTCTTGGGCAGTTTTCTGTGCATGCCCTTTTCTGGACACATATACCATGAGTTTGGGATGGTAACCCCATATACCTTGTGCCAACCTTACTGGTACCTGGAATGCTTCATCCCAAAACAATATAATTCAAGACAGAAAATTTAAGCAGTCAATCTATTGTAAGGGTGGATTTTGTAAATCGTATTTGTCCTTTCAAGCTGAAAGGTTTTGGTTACTGGTCAAGTGTGGCTGAACCTGCTTACATATGAGTCCAAATGCAATTACCTGGGATCTGACAACTATACTGTTAGTGCTGAGATCTTGCAAATTTGTTGTTTAATTCTGTTGTGGTAGTTTAACGTTGTACTTTGATTGTATATCCTTTGACCTTTAACGTTATTTACAAACCATAATGGTTAGTGGTCCAGCACTTCTTTGCTAAATGTGTTCAAATGCCATGAAGATCTTAAATAAAGTTAACATGAATTAAACAATTAACATTATTTATCCAAAGGAAAAGTGAAAACTCTGACAGAAGAAAAACAATTTCATTGATCCAAACTTACATGCTGCCGCCTTAAGTTATTTTTTATTTTTGCTCATTGAAGTGTATGATTACTGCTGGTGAGTTTCAAAATGATAATCAAGGTGCATTTTTCTATATATAGGTTCTGGGTCGATGTGGACTGGAATGTGAAGGACTTGGGACACTATGCATCAAGGATCAAACACTTACAAACGAAAGTATGCTCTTTTCATGATACATCAAGATGCCATTAGCTGCTCATGGTTCTGTACTTTTTGTGTTATCTTTTGTGACTTATGTATTATCTCATCTGTTGCAGGTTCAGACAAGATAGTTGGATGGGCTTTAAACCATCATTTAATGCAGAATCCTGAAGCTGATCCAGAAACAAAAGTTGTTCTGTCTGCGGAGAGGTAATTAACAGATTATTTATTGCCATCTTCGTGAATAATTGTTAGCTGAAATATCAGTTATTGGATGGATATTACACAGTAATGCCATGTTGCAATTCTGGCAGCATCCAGTACGGACTTGAAATTTTACAGGCTCTCCAGAATGAAACGAAGAGTTTGAAGTCACTTAAGGTAGGTATCCGACTTTTGTTTCTCCAACTTGTATGATCACTTTTTTTTTTTATCTTTTTTTTTTAGGGGAGTTATCCCTTGATCTCAATTTGCTCTTCCTTCTTCATGTAAGGTAGAACTCTATGTTAATCGTCATAGTGATTTTTTGGTTGAAATCAGGATGTTGTTACGGAAAATGAATTTGAGAAAAGGCTTTTAGCTGATGTTATTCCACCTAGTGACATTGGAGTTACATTTGATGATATTGGCGCCCTTGAGAATGTGAAGGATACATTGAAGGAGTTGGTGATGCTTCCCTTACAAAGGCCAGAGCTTTTCTGCAAGGGGCAATTGACCAAGGTAAAATGTTTTGTCTGCATTGAGAGAAAATATACTTTTTTATTTGATTTCTCTGAACATTGTATGGCTGGTTTATGCATGTGAGTTTTAATGTTGATTATATAGTTCTGATATCTCTCATCTCCACCTTAGTGTTCATGAAGTGCTAGTTATCATCTATGAACTTGTTTATTTTTCAGTACTACGTTGGCACATGATCAAATATAAGTATTGTAGCCCTATGGTGACGAGTGTATATGATCGTGATTTTATGTCCTCTCTATGCAGCCTTGCAAGGGTATCCTTTTATTTGGTCCCCCTGGAACAGGCAAGACAATGCTTGCAAAGGCTGTGGCTACGGAAGCTGGTGCAAACTTTATCAATATATCCATGTCGAGCATCACATCAAAGGTTGGCAATTTGGATAGTTTGACTATGGTCTAATTTTAGAAGTTGATTGCATCTCACAATTTTAAGTAATGTCTTCTTCGGTGCAGTGGTTTGGTGAGGGTGAGAAATATGTGAAAGCTGTTTTTTCGCTGGCCAGTAAAATTGCGCCTAGTGTTGTGTTCGTAGATGAAGTAAGGTTCTTTTAGTTCTCAAGGAATTTACCTATTTTGGGTTGTTTTCCTTTAATTGACTTCTCACATTATTTGAGCTTGTAATAGGTGGACAGTATGTTGGGCCGACGGGAAAATCCAGGTGAGCATGAGGCAATGCGTAAGATGAAGAATGAATTCATGGTAAATTGGGATGGTTTACGAACAAAAGAAGCAGAGCGAGTTCTTGTACTGGCAGCCACTAATAGGCCTTTTGACCTTGATGAGGCTGTCATTCGAAGACTGCCGCGCAGGTAAGTATCATGTCCAAATCGAAACAATAGCACCTTATATATGAGTACACATTCTCCCACTTCTTGTGTTTGCCCCATCAACTGACACATTTCTTGCCTTCTTTTTTTATTAAATGATGTCAAGTTATTTATAATTAGCCTTCTGCAGGTTGATGGTAAATTTGCCAGATGCTCCAAATAGGGCAAAAATATTGAAAGTCATACTGGCAAAAGAGGACTTGTCTCCCACTGTTGATTTTGATGCGATTGCATGACGGATGGGTATTCAGGAAGTGACCTCAAGGTGATTAATTTAATATTATTCATTTTGATAGTTGAAGCTTTCGTTAAATCTATGATTCTATATCAATAATTGTTATTATGTTGCAGAATCTTTGTGTAACTGCCGCACATCGTCCAATTAAAGAGATTTTGGAGAAGGAAAAAAAGGTTCGTATTTTGTTTCTTTGGCATTAGAGCAAACTTGTCATTAGATTTTGTCTTAGTTGTTGATGATGTGTGTCCAAGTTTTCTTTATTTTCTTGTGCAATGTTAGGCAGTCACTTTAAGCGACTGCTGATGGTAGACCCACTTGGATCAATTTATGTGTCCTAGATTTCCAAACAAATTTGAAATTGCCAACTCTCATCTTTCCAGTTTTACTCCGCTATTACCAGCATTAGAAGTCATCGTTTATATCATCTCTCTCTCTCTCTCTCTCTCTCTCTCTCTCTCTCTCTCTCTCTCTTTCTCTTGAAAACAAAGAACTGATTTTCCATGGTGAGGACCAAAATAAAACAAAGAGACATCTCTACATTGTTTTTCTAAACAAAGAAACTCCTTTTTTTTTTTTGGTCGACAGAAAGCCCAATTTTATTTTATCATTTTTCAGGTTCAACTTTGAAACTAGTTATTTTGATTTTCTTTCTGTTGATTTATTTCATTTTGAATCCAAGTTCCAAAATCCCCTTAAAACCTGGGGTAAATCAGGGACATCTTTTATTCTTATGTGTCGGTGACAGCTATGGCTCCATAAACCACCTCCCTTCCAATGGCCGTGGCTCTATCAAAATAACAAATTTGGTTTGAATCACATCAGTGATAGACTGATTTGTTTGATGTAGGAGAAAAAAATTTAAGGAGATGAAAATGACATTAAATCCTGGTAGAGGGGTAAAAAGGACGAGGAATCAGTTATTGAATTTCAATTTATCTTGAGAGTTTTGAAAGACGCGTAGTTTGCTTCTAACGAGACTATCCATAGCAGTCGATACATTTACATTGCTCTATTTTTTTTGCGGGGTCAAGTAGCCAGTTGATATGTAGAGAAGGTATGATCTAATACGTTCTACTGATGACAGGAGCATGCTGTAGCCGTAGCGGAAGGTAAACCCGTTCCAGCTTTGAGTGGCAGTGCTGATATACGGCCTCTGAACATGGATGACTTCAAAGATGCTCACGAACGGGTAAGATGCAGCCTCAATTTCCATTCCGTGTCTCTCCTCCCGCAGTATTGTGCTTTTGTTTTCTAAACTTGGTTTGTGGAAACAGGTATGCGCTAGTGTTTCATCGGAATCCGTGAACATGACCGAGCTTTTACAATGGAACGAACTCTATGGCGAAGGGGGCTCAAGAAGAAAGAAGGCCCTTAGCTACTTCATGTGAAGGCATGTGCTGTAGAAAAAGGGTTTTTCTCCTTTTCCTTATCAAATTTTTTATTTTCTTTTACAATTTTCCCTCCCATAAATTTCTGCAGTTCTCGTAGAGCCCGAAGTAAATTTTTGCCTCCATCTTAGTTAGGGCTGTGTGGAGAATCATCTTGTCTGTAAAATGAGATTCAGTTTATCAAGCTGCTTTTCTTGCCCCTTTAGTTCGACGGTGGCGGGCACAAGGGAAGCAAAAGCCTTCTAAAGAGAAGCGGCTTTGGCTTCACCACTTGTGTTTTGTTCCCCATCCTCTTGCTGTCGGCGTTGAGAATGTGTCTGTTAATTCCAGTTCAAAAACGGAATGACCGTATGTGCATATAGTCATTTTTTGTTGCGCTCGTCGGAATTGAACGATAAGCAGTTAGTAACCATTGACATTTTCTGTAACCATTGTTTTTTTTTTCCGGGTCTCTCGTCGCACGTTAGTTAAATTACTTTACTGCATTATTTTTCTCCAGATTTGTCATAATTTTAGTGTTGAATGTTGTTGGATTAGCATAAGCTTGTTCGCGTTCGCTAATCGAACCTCGCTTTGCTTGCTGTTTTAACTGGAACTGCACCACTAGCATGAAAATTTACCGGTGGGAAAAGCTATGAAGGAGAAGTTGCTCCGGGAGTAGCAGCAGCCAAGCAATATCCTTGCGTATGTGATGTCGGGTGTCTGAAATCAAGAGTCCAGTTCGTAATATTACGTGGATTCCAATGATCTTCATTCCCAATTAGGCTTTTTAGTCAAAATGGTATCTGAAAATGACATACTTTTTCATTTTGGTATATGAAAATCACAAAAGTAGCCTTAATTTTTGTCAAATCATTGCGGCCAATTGTTTATTATATTGTGGTAGTTTTGTTATTTTAGACCTTATTTAACAGAGATTTTTCACATAAGGACCAAATGATGAACGATGCACAAACTTAGGAAATACTTCTACTGGTTTCAAATCTTAAGAACCAAAGGAAGGAGTTATACTCATCTCAATGATCATTTTGACTTGATTAAAATTACGATTACAAATAAATAAACTATGTCACATAAATTGTGATTAGTCTTAGTTGGGCTTATGCCACCAATTTCACCGGAGCACAATAAAAAAAAAACCCATGCTTACGATTTCGACACAAAAAAAAGAAAGAAAAAAAAAGTTACTTTCTGAATAACATTTACAGTCCGTAGAAATAAAAAGATTAACCTAAAGAGTTTTTTTAACTTTAATCTTTCAAGAAGATTGAAATTTAAAATAAACCTGGTGTTATATTATATATTGATTATAATCCCTTGATGTGTCTTTAATTCAAAATAATCAATGTGCATTTTATTTAATCTCTCTCATTAAATATTTAAATTTATTAATATACAAATTTTAATTTATTTTTTGACCAAAAAAGTTTTTTTTTTTAATTTAATTTTATTTAACATCTTCAGACTTGAAAGACTCAATTAATGTACCGCAATGTGTGTACCGAAATGTATTATATTGAACTAATGTATTTAAATGTTAGTACCAAAATATATGCATTGAAATGTATTATATTAAATTAATGTCCCTAAATGTGTGTATCGAAATGTATTATATTGAATTAATGTACCTAAATGTTTGTATCAAAATGTATGTACTGAAATGTGTGTACCTAAATCTATGCACCGAAATATATTATAATGAATTTAATGTATCTAAATGAATAAGACAAAGTACATCGAAATATATTGTAGAACATAAATTAGTTTATCTAAATGTTTACAACAAAATATATTACGATAAATGAAATGAAAATTATAATTATAATGAAATAAAATTAATACATTAAAAATTAGGAAGAAAAAGAGAAATAATTAAAAAATCAAAATATAATTAATAAATGAGGTTATTAATGTATCAAGAGACTAAAATTAAATTTTAATCTTACTCATGGTTTTAATTTAAAAATCATCTTTGCCAAGGATTAAAATGAAGTTTTTTATTTAAAAAATAAAAAAGAAATGATGTCTCATGTATGATGGCACAAAAGGGTGGTTTTTCAAAACCTAATAAAACAATATTAAATTTTCCACTTGCTGCACACTTAAGGAGGCAGATTGTCTGCCCTTCCATCCCCTTCTATTTGTACGGTCACAGTTAAGCCACGTCAATATTTTATATTCTTATTACTTTTTGTCTTATTATCTCTACAAAAAAATTAATATAAAATGTTGACGTGACTTAACCGTGACCGCACAAAATAGGAGGGGATAGAAATGGCACCCAAACAAGAGGGTAGACAATCTGCCTCCCACACTTAAACCAACTTTCTTGGTTTCCAACGCACACAACCCACAAGGTTAATAAGAAAACCAGACCAAAGCAGTGGCACATTGCACAAGAATTTTGAATTTGAATTTGCCTCAGGTATTTTTACATAGTTTCGAACATAATTTGTTTGTTATAACTCCGAATTGAGTTCCTTTTGCAGCCATGTATTTGTAAAAATAAGTACTATTCAAGAATAGTAAAACAAGAGTGGAAAAATGAAGGAAAAATTGAGGTCCAAGTTAAATGCCTATGTGGCCTTGCATTTTGGTAATTTCATTACTATTGAGAATAAAATACAATAAATCATGGAGCAGAATGTCACAACCTATTTGTCGATTTCTAGCTAAAAAAAATGGAAGTGGAAAATCTGATAGGAGCAAGAATTATTGTTTAATTTACTTAGAAAATAAAGGCATGGATCATACAGTCCAAATGAATGGATCCTTCACAGCTCTAAACAGCAATAAAATTGTCATTTTTTAAAGATCAATAAACAATTTGTTGGTGCCATTAACTTTTAGCATGTTTTTGATTGAAGCTTCTGGCTTTACTAATCCCTACCTCATCAGATACAGACTCATCAAGTTTTAAAAATTGTCTAATTCATATCAATTACTATCTTGGTAGAAGAATGAGATCATTTAGTTTAATTTCATAATATTATTCGGACTTTGCAAAGTATAAGTTTTGTGATTTAATATATAGACGGCATGGCTCAGACTGGTTTTTAGAAAAATAAAAGAAAGCGTATAAGTTTTGTGATTTAATATAGATGGCATGGCTCAGACCATTTTTAGAAAATAAAGTAAATACCAAAAGTACCCCGCACCCACCCCCAACCTTTGTTCTTATCCTAAGAGAAAAAAAATTTAAATTGTAAAGATTTATTTATTTATTTTTATACATGAGGCTAGAATTTAAGACATCTCACTTGCAAGTGAAGAAAAATATTATTAAAGCATAATACTAACTGCAAAGAAATCTTTGGTTCTAGCCGAGGAAAATTGTAAAGGGTAAAAGGTAAAATGCAGCTATAGCCTATACATCATGGCTCCTCAAAGATTTGAAACAAGCAAAATTATATAGTGGATATAACGTCCCAAAATATTTAAGGGAAGGGAAGCTAGGGTGACAAGATGTTACGGCGTTCATACTAGATTTTATTTATTTGTACTAAGGTTTATTTTATTGCTACGCCTCTTAGAATTCAATTTTAATCTTACTATGCCATCTGTAACTCAACAGTCATCACTTTACTCTTGAAAATTCAAAATTCGCTCAACTTTGCCCCCTAGAAATCAATTTTTTGATAACATTTTGTCCCATGAAACACAAAACTCGTCATTTTACTCTATAAACTCAAATTCGCCCCACATTGCATTAATTATATTAATTATGTTATGAGGGTTTGAATTGGGTGCACTAGACTAATCAATTTTTATTTATTTTTTATCTCTACAACTCAAGCATAGCAACCCAAAAATTTCTAGTTCTTAACTTCTTCTTTTAACTTAATATTTTTTTATTGTTGATTGTTAACACATAGTGGAGATTCATAATCAAATCCATTGGCACATGTTGCATAGTCTTATTCACTACAAGAAAACAGGGCTTCAGTGACGATGGCAAAGCGTCACTGAATACTAAAAAATTTAGCCATAAATATAAATATTCCAAACGTAACATTTCTAACACTAAATGAATAAATTTAGAAATAAAGAATATTTTCAATTAATGACATTTATTAAAACCTAAGACCTTGATAAAAAATTGAAATGGAGTAAGATTTTAATTAATGAAGTAGCAAAAAAAAGGATGAGAACCTAATTTCTCTTTATAAATATATGTGTGTGTATATCTTATATGTATATTATGCTTGAAAGGCTCACGCCTTAAAACGCCTTGCTTTACGCCGACACTTGTAAAAACATTTGCTATCTGTAATTGATAGAGTTGAGGTTCAAGACCATATTGGTACAGATCAAGTCTTATCCACACTATAGCATATACAATATTCAATAATTTATGGTTTTTCTTTCCAGAAAAACTGGAGTCTGCAGTCATGGTTAACTGGAACAGTAGTTTAGTACAGTAATTAATTAATTATAAAACAAAGGGATGGTAGAGAGAATAAGATAAATACACACACACACACACACATGCTACACATTAGAGCAGATTAGAGGGACTGCATTATTATTATTTTTATAATTGCATGCACTATATAGCGACCTCTATATATATATCTCGCCTCACATTCAGGCAATACTAGTCATCACTACTCAATTTAACTAGCTGCTGCAGATCACAGACACAGAGAGAGATGGAAAACAAAATACAAGATCAGCAACAGAGAACGAGTACAGATGGAGCTTCCAAACGCATATCAGCCATCTATTCAGAACCCACACCACCACCACCCAGCGAACACTTTGATCTTGAGCTTGATCATAATACTGACCCTAAGGATGAGCCTCAGGTAATTTAATCTCTCTCTCTCTCTCTCTCTCTCTCTCTCTTAATTTTATGAAGTTTTTTAACAGAATAAAATGTTCTAAGTTTGTTGATTAATTATTCCGATGATCACTAGAAGCCTGGATTGAGAAAGTTTCTAGCACATGTTGGCCCTGGCTTCCTTGTCTCTTTGGCTTACCTTGATCCTGGCAACTGTAAGTCTCTCTCTCCATGTGTTATATACATGAAAAGTTTTGCTAAACTGCAAATTTGAACCACTGATTAAGTTGATTCTCATCTGAACGTGGATTCAAATTTACAATTTGACAATATAGTCTAGTAAAAACACATTAACCCACACACACACACATATATATAGCTCAGTCAACCTTTCATAACAATATTTGCATGTGTACGTCCGTACATGTGTACGTCCGTACATGTGTACGTCCGTACATGTGTACGTCCGTACATGTATATGTATTAATTAGTCTTTATGCTTTTTGTTCTTCATTCATTGACAAAAGTATATGTTGTTTATGGTGATCTTACAGTGGAAACTGATCTCCAAGCTGGAGCAAATCACAGATACGAGGTAATAAAACAAAATTCAGAAAGGCAAAAAAAAATTTGAAAAAATAAGATAATTATTAAAAGCAAGCATTAAGAACAAGGAAAAAGATAAAAAATGCTATTATTATCTTTTATCTTGTACCAGATGAAACTCACGCAAGCTCTACCTTTAATAGAAAGATGCGGTACAAATAATGGTAGAAATAGATAGTAAATGCAGCACTACTAAAAAAAATAGTGAGGATGAATTGATCGAATTCTTTACATGTGTTTAGCATGCAAAAGAAAAGACCGGCGCAGTGGCCTTATTATATATTTTGCTATGTATTTTCAGCTGCTATGGGTGATTCTTATTGGATTGATCTTCGCTCTCATAATCCAGTCTCTCTCAGCAAACCTTGGTGTGATAACTGGTATGAAATGGATAGACATTATTCTAATCTTAAAAAATAGCACAGATATTAATAATATTCTATATTATATAACTACATAACTAAGGGAAATTGTATAATAAATAAATAGAGATTAGGAACAAGTTTGTTCGTTTTTGTTGTTGTTAACACAAATGGATTGGAGGATACAGATAAGATAAACAGGTGATATGATGATGAGAGAGGAGAGAAATAAACAGAAGATTATAATATTCTGCACATAAAAGGAAAATTGAAGATCTCTATTATTGGTTTATTTTTATTTAAATAATATTTATATTTTTTCATTTAAATTTCAGGGAAACATTTGTCAGAATTATGCAAGGCGGAATACCCACCATTTGTGAAGTATTGTTTGTGGTTGCTAGCAGAAGTAGCCGTCATAGCGGCTGACATACCCGAAGGCAAATATATATTCACTTCAAATTTAATTCATGTTTATGCATTAATGTGTGTGTGAATACATAACGTATAAGGGGAAAAAAAAAGGCCAAATTGGATAAATGATTCATGTAATCATAAGGTATTTGGAAGATAACTCATGTGCTTAAAAACTTGGATTTAAACCCATGTGGTGTACTTCATTAGTAAATTTAGTCAAAAAATGATTTTTCTGTTAACTATCTGTTAATACATGAGTAAAATTGTACTTTGACGTGTAAATCTTATTATTTATCCTATTACAAAAAAGAAAAAAAAAACAAAACAAACCCACAACCTAGCCCCGCGACCCACTTCTCCATCTCCTCCCTCTTCACCTCCCATCCCTTCTCTCCCCTCAAACCCACCCCTCTCCCCAAACCCACTCCTTCCTCTTCACCACATCAGCGGGACTAATAGGTGCTTTATCTTTCTCAGACCCGCCAAAGGCGAATACATTTTACTGGGACTCGTTATGGTCCACCTCGAACACAGAAGTAAACAAGTTGGACTTGAATTCGGGTGCCTACTCCTGAGTGGAGCGAAGTGCTAATAAATACTACAGCGACCCTTACAATGTATTTCAAGCGTCCTAGCATTCGAAGGAAATTCCAGAATATATTGCAAGGTTCAAAATTACCATTTTCGTTTCACAGTAGTGATTTTCCCTCTGATTTTCTCAGTAACCAAACATATCGTCAAATGATTCAAAGCATACCTTTTGGGGTGAAGAGGAAGGAGTGGGTTTGGGGAGAGAGAAGGGATCGCGGGGGAGGTTCGGGGTCTGTGGGTGTTTTTTTTAATTTTTTTAATAGGGTAAATAATAGGATTTACAGGTTAAAGTACAATTTTACCCATGTATTAACAGAGAGTTAACGAAAAAATCACTTTTGAATTAAATTTGCTAACGAAGTACATGTTTAAATCCGAGTTTTTTTAGCATAGGTTATCTTCCGAATACCTTATGACCACAGAAATCATTTATCCGATTTGGCCAAAAAAAAAAAGAAATAGAAGAAAAAATATTAACAAATGTTGTATCTCTATATATATAGTATAGGTGACGATTCTTTTAAAGAGTATCGTAGTGATGATTCTTTAGTATCGTAGACTAACCCTATGAGAACAAGTTATAACGACGATTCTAAATTTTGGCATGCAGTTATTGGCACAGCGTTTGCCCTAAATATACTGTTCAATATTCCAGTTTGGACTGGAGTACTCTTAACTGGTTTCAGTACTCTTCTCCTTCTTGGCCTGCAGAAATATGGGGTAATTTAATATATCATTTAATTTGTTTTATTCATGTGTATTTAATTTATTCAGTTACGTATGTATGTTTGTGGTTGCATTATGTATATGGGCAGGTGAGGAAGCTGGAAATGCTGATAGCAGTGCTGGTGTTTGTGATGGCTGCCTGTTTCTTTGGGGAAATGAGTTATGTGAAGCCTCCGGCATCCGGTGTGCTCAAAGGCATGTTCATCCCTAAGCTCAGCGGCCAGGGAGCCACCGGAGATGCCATTGCCCTCTTGGGTGCCCTTATTATGCCGTAAGTACATGTCTCGACAAATGCTTATGCTATCAAACTACAACTTCAATCGATGAAAATACTTAAAATTTGATCATTAATACTTACGTCATCTAATTTTTTATACATATTCTATAATAATATGTTGCTAGCTACGCTCGTTGTCTATATTATCTAACACTTGACTATTTTGACAGGCACAATCTTTTTCTCCACTCAGCTCTTGTGCTTTCAAGGAAAATTCCAAAATCTGTCCGTGGCATGAACGTAAGCCCCATATATTAATCAGCTTTTTCTATTCAATTAGATTACAAATAAATAATTTATACAATTTTAAATGGCATGAAGATCCAAGTAGTTGGTTAGTTGAAAATCTCTTATAATAGTTAAATAAGTTATAGAACTAATTATCAACTTAATGCTAAACTGTTTGTGACCTTATCTAAAACACTTATAATTATATAAAACATTGTAAAGTTAATATAGTTTGAGGAACCTCCTGATGTCCTATAGGATGCCATCTTCTATGAATCCATGTTATACTCTAGTTTTTATTTAGTACTAGCCTCTTGTAACGCGTGCAATTGGCCTTGTATGTTAAATTAAAGTTTTTTTTATGGTTTTTTACAAAATAAATTAAGAAAATCAAGTTTTTTATTTATATATGTTCTATTTAAAAAATTTGAAAATAAATTAGAAACCACCCACTAACATGGGGGTTTTGTTATATTTTTTTTCTACGTTTAAAATTTCAAATTCATTCAAAATGTTTTAAATTTTCATTCATTCAAAGTTAATATTTGTTGAATTATTTTAACTCCTTTTAATTTAATTGTAATTTTAAAATTCATGAGGGGAAATTTATGGTATTTTGAATGTTTCACCATTTTGAGGTGCTCCCTTTATATATTTAGTATTAATAAAAAAAGGTTGATTATTTTGTATTTTTTTACAAGATTATTTTATGTATTTATTATTAGTTTGATTTTTCTTTTGAAATTTTCAATTATAAGTGAGAAGCATGATGCATGCATCTACTTACTAAATATAAATCTAAAAGATTATTAGAATACTTATGGAATATACCATAATATATATATATATATATATAGGCCTCGTTTGGCAGCTCGTATAACACATCGGATAGGATAAATAGTACGGATACAGGTGTTTGGTGCAAATTTGTACTAAATAGTACCCGGATTAATTAAACTGGCCCCACACATTTTATACGGTGTACGCCAGCTAAATTATCCTCCCAAAATCCTCTGTATTATTAGTCGGGTAGTTTTGCTTCCTCCGCTCTCTCCTTCCCATCTCGCATCGCGCCCTGTGTCTTCTTCTCCTCCTCCTCATCCCCTCCCTGCTTCGGCCAAAACCAACCCCTCTTTGCTTTCCCCAATTTCTCTATTCAACCCCACCTGCAAATTTCTTCTTCTTCTCTCTTTGTTCCCACTTGCAAATTTCTTTTTCTCTATTTGTTCTGCCTAAACCTAACCCCTTTTCATTTTCCCCAATTTTGTAACTACAAATTCCTTCTTCTTCTCCATCTGTTCCGCTCAAACCCAACCCTTTTTGTTTTCCCCAATTTTGCCATCCAACCCCACCTGCAAATTTCTTCTTCTTTTCTACCTACTCCACCCAAACCTAGCCCCTTTTTGTTTTCCCCAATTTTGGTTTTGGCTGGATGACGAAAATTATGAACAATTGCGTTGAATGATATTAAAATTTTACTTCTTTATTCCTATCTATTTGTCCAATCCAATTTCCGCTGCAACATTTGGAGAACTGTAATCAAGTGGGGGACCTGAGGGTGGAGCTGAACTTCTGGAATTGTGCTCCATATATGTGTGAATAATTTTGGACTAGGGTTGTTGAATTGTTGATTGGGTGTTGAAGTATTGCTCTGTTGTGGTTTACTGGATAGAATTGTTGATTTTTTTTTCTCTTATCTTAACCGGTTCAGTACCAAACACAATATAAATAATACGGTCATTAATCCGATATTACACCAAACGCCCGACTAATTTAGTCAGTACTATCCGGTGGCTATTTATCCTATCCGACATAAATAGTCAGTACAGTCCGAAGTGCCAAACGAGGCCATAGTGTATACATATACTATATGGTCGCCATTACTGTGCAAGTTCCTTAATTAATGCTTCGTATAGTGTTTATTAACACTAATTAATTGAATTTTTGCAGGATGCATGTCGATATTTCTTGATAGAGAGTGGATTTGCATTATTTGTAGCATTTTTAATCAATGTTGCTATTATCTCCGTATCCGGCACTGTTTGCCATCAGAGCAACCTCTCGGATAAGAACAACGACACATGCAGTGATCTTACTCTCAATTCTGCTTCCTTTCTTCTCCAGGTACGAAGTAATCACCTTCGTCCCTCTAATCTACATTACACGCGTGTGTGTTCATATATATATGCCAGCTTCATAGCAGGTACCTCATTTTACTATTGCAAAAACGTGATAGGTATGACGTCTTATAAATTTCACCGTGTTTCCTAATTTTTGCTCCAAGATACAAGAGTTCTATAGAGTCACCATGATTCTTACGGGGCCTATCATTTTGTTTATGGTACATTAAACAGGCTCTCTGCTGAGAAAGGCATCGTATAATAAAATACTGTTTCCGAATATGAAATCTGACATTGTACAAACTCATCTTATTTATAGACCAGATTGATGGTTTGTAATGTAACAAATAATAAATACTGTTTCCGAATATAACAGGAGATAACTAATCTATTTATATGTGCAGAATGTGTTGGGACGATCAAGCAAAATCTTGTATGCCATTGCACTATTAGCCTCAGGCCAAAGCTCCACAATTACAGGCACTTACGCAGGACAATTTGTCATGCAGGTTAAATTTATATTTCTTCATTTATTATGAGTACTTAAACATAAAACTGCAGACTTGAGCGTATGTAAGTTAGCTATAGCAGTGCGCTCTTCCCACTACTTTAAAGTTTGAATTTCCATTCCCGTAGTTAGAGTAAAGTATAATATTTAAAATTGATGGTGATTTGCAGGGTTTCTTGGACATTAAGATGAAAAAATGGGCTAGAAACTTAATGACGAGGTGCATTGCCATTACACCAAGCCTCATTGTTTCCATTATCGGCGGATCTTCAGGAGCAGGAAGGCTCATTATCATTGCATCGGTTTGTAATTAACTGGATAATTATATTTAATTTTCTTCTCAATCTAGATACCAAAAATAATTAATTAGAGAGCAAATTTTAAATGCATTCTGCAGATGATACTATCTTTTGAGCTCCCATTTGCTCTAATTCCACTCCTCAAATTCAGCGGTAGTGCCACCAAAATGGGACCCCACAAGAATTCAATCTATGTGAGTGGGTTTTTTCAGCTCTCTTTGCTTTGCTTCATCTAAATTAGTTAACTGTGGAACCCTTTGAATTAACTAGTTATTAAGTAATAATTGACTGGACACAAAAAGCTTAAGTTGTTAAGAACTTCAGAGCGACAAGTGAGAGATGAAGCTTGGAGGCTTGGACACCGAAAGTCTGGTACTATATTATTATTATGGGTCTGTTTGAACGTTATTTTGAGAAGATTCTCTAATAAGTGATTATGGCCACTTCCAAACGAACTCTGTATAGCCACTAAACCTAGAAAATTGACTCGTAGATGATACATCAGCAATGTATATCAAACTAACCCGCTAGTAGCTAGTGCTGATTGAAACTAACAATGTTGGCATTTTTTGTATGCAGATCATTGTGATATCATGGATTATAGGAATGGCAATCATAGGCATCAACATCTACTACCTCAGCACAGGATTTGTAGGGTGGATAATCCACAGCAGTCTACCCAAAGTTGCAACTGTGTTCATTGGGATCTTGGTGTTCCCTATCATGGCCATTTACATCCTTGCAGTCCTTTACCTAGCCCTAAGAAAAGACAGTGTGGTAACTTTTGTTGAGCCCACAAAGAACGACCCAGCAGCCCAAAACCAAATGGAAAATGGGCGTCCCAACTATGGTGAGCCCCCAGTGCCTTTCAGAGAGGACTTGGCTGACATATCTTTACCACAATAGAGGACATATATATTTTCATATGCATATGCTTCCCACTTTGCATTACGAGTGTTAGTCAAACCTAATACCTGTTGAACTTCGTACTGGTTCAAGACCTTCGAGGAAAAGAGACGACCCGTGTTAGTCGAACTTAATACCTGCTGAATCTTTGTACCGTTTCGAGACCTTGAGAGGAAAGGGACCAGCGTTGCACTTAAGAATTAAGATTGTAATGGTTTTTTATGAACTAGAAGATAGAAGCTCTTTAAGAAGTAGTAGGACTCTTATTGTATCACTCCGATAATGTCCCCGAGAGGACTATGCGGTGTTCATCATATTGAATAATAAATTATCTAAGGGAAGAATAATCATTTGGTGTATCATGAATCTCTGTTGCAAAGTTGTTCATTTAGATCATAATGTATTTCCTATTGGTCATCTGCAAATTATATCCTCACATTTAAGTCATCTATGATATGTCATTCAGTACTACGGTCTGATGGTATTACTCTTCATTTTAAGTGAGAGGTCTTCAGTTTGAATCTCATAGATGGCGAATTCGATATTAAATTAGGTTGTTCATTGTGTGACTTAGTCAAACTCCATCCCTTAGTGTAAAATATATCGTTGAACTCAAAAAAAAAAAAAAAAATCATCTGTGATCTACCTTGTCATTTGAGCAAACATTGTTCAAGCGTTTGACGTTGAGACCAAAAAAGACGACATAGTTGTGAAAATGGTAATACTTTTCATTGATCATAGTACATGGAGATCATATTTAACAAGGATTTTGATACAATCTATATCCTAAAATACACCATTTGACTAATTTAAACATAATTACATAATCAATTACAACAATCAAGGAAAACATATCTGTTGACCCTAAAAACTACCAAACCTACGTGGCGCGCAGGCCGAGTAATCTATAAGCTAACTACGTCCTTTGGTAAATGCAGGGCGTGCCAACTCGTCGGCCGAGCTCGGCCGAGGAGTAAATTTGTTGATGTTGCGTTGGGCGCGCGACTGACTTTTGCGTCTTGCGATTGCGACCGAGGAAGGAACACGTCTCGGCCTCTTGGGTTCTCGAGCCTGAAGACAAGGCTATTATTCTTACGAAGTTCACGAATCGCCGTCGTCGGATTCTGTCACAGTGATGTTATTCGTCAGAGTAAACTCACGCCGAATCGACACCAAAGTGTAAGGGCACAAATACTCAAAGCGAATATAAGTCTTGATAGTAAACGTGGTTCGGTCGTCTGAATGCCGAACTCTGAATCCCACTTGAGAGTATCCAATCATAAAATCACTCGGCGTGCAATGCACCGAGTTCAGTAAACTGTAACACCTCATTTCGCCGAGAAGGCTAATGAAATGACCTCAATCAACAAGGATTCAGAAATCCTTCTCGACCGAGACTTGGATAGGTAACCAACTGTCCTCGCCGCAATGCTGTTGATGCCAACGGAAGATGCTGCGAGACCGACTGATTCTACGGCGACAGAGCTATCTATGCCGACTTAAGATGTCATTGGTTGCTTTCACAATGCTGTTGATGCCAACGGAAGATGTGTCAGCGAAAAGAGAAAATAAAAATCTCAAAGTTGTTGAGAGAGTTTGCGCAGGGCAGTTGTGTGTTGAATTGGAGGGGGGCTTGAATGATGCACAGCCTCCTCTATTTATAGCATTGGATACCTTTAAAGCCGAGTTAAAACCCTACTCGGACTAGGTCTTCTTCTCCTGATCAAACACCAACTCGACCAGTCCTATTTTCACTATAATTGTGAACCTAGTCTTTTATCGAGCCGGATTCGTTTCCGGGTTATTAACCCTGCCGAAACTCCTTATTGCGCTAGAACTCGACTTGTCTTGCAGCATGACCTAACCGACCTAGGTTTGGAGGCCCACGCACTAAACGATCCATGGTACCTTTGTCGTAAGACCTTCCGGGCCGAAAATGATCCTATACTCGGCCCAAACTAATATTTTGGGCCCAAACATTGCCCCCTCGCTTCTGAAGTCCTCGGCCTAAATTCTTTGGTCGAGTTTTGACCTTGAAGAAGCGAATCTAACACTCAGAACCCAAGTACTCTATTTCCAAGGCGCATTTATTGAGCATGATTGCACGATCTTGATTCTGCTGACCAAAACACCACGTGGCATCCTTTAACAAAGCCAATCCCCAATAATGACGTCTAAGGCGTGCGGCTCCTTGAACCGTCTTGCCATCATGACATTATTGCTGAACATGTCATGCTACCTCAATCCGCTAGCCTTTCGTCATCGTGCAGACGCCAAAACATCTTTCGCCCTAAATCTCGCCGCCACACGCAATCGTGCGCCCCCAAAACCTGAGACCCTCGGTCTTCGCAACTGCATTTCCTGAATGTCCATAATGATTAGCGATTTCTTCGATCGATTTTACCCTTTATTTTGAATTTCGAACGATTGCCCTTCCTTCCATAATTCTATAAATACCGAAATTCTCTCATTTGTACTTCACGCTTTTAAATTTTCTGAAATTTCTCGCCATCATTCTCCAGTGCATTTCTTCCTTCCATGTCTTCGTTCTTCAATCTTTAACCCAGAAAGTTCTTTTCTTGTCATCCCTTCAACAAATCACCATGGCCTCCTTTATCTCTAAGCTTTCTAAGGAGTGTGACCAATGCCCGAAAATCATCGATCGGAGTTCAATCAAAACCATCTGATTTAAGAGTGACATGAGTACCCTTCATCAAATCTTGGGTCCTCTCTTTAAGGCGGCAGTGCCATTGACCATCACTGGACTTCTCCAGGAGCACTGACTATCACCCTTGCTACAAGGGTTCGACTGGTCGAAGTGGGATGTGGCGAGGCCTCAAGGCTCTTGGCCCTCGACCATTACAACTTGGGCAGCCTGGGTTGTTCGAATGGAAAAACTCTTCGGCGAGCAATGGAAAGCCCTAGACATCTACGACGCCATTCACCTTTCGTCCATGGAGGTCATTCTGGACAAGGAGCTCCTCCTAACGGCTTTATGCTTCTAGTGTTCGGCCACTAACACCATGGTCCTCCCTCTTGGCCTCATTGACCCCACAATCCAAGACCTTACTGCCATCTTGGGGACTTCCCCGACTGGAATCCCAGTCGACTCTGCCCTCCCTGGGTACCCGTCGAACCTTAATTTAAAGGCGCTCTTCGACAAACGGGCCCTTGAGACGCTAAGTAGTGCAGGCCAAACACCCTCGAAAGAAGAGGTCCACAAGCTTCACAAGAACTTCTTCAACTACAACACCCTCAACCTCAATTTTGCCAGCCGAGAAGAAGAGGCTCTACGAGAAGGAGAACACGAGGCTTTCCTCTTCTATTGGTACAACAAATTTATTTGTTGTACCAAATCTAATAAGTGTTTGGTCGAGAACATGCCAGTGGTCGAAGCCCTAGCTAGCGGTCACACTTTGGCACTTAGCCCGGCCATTCTCGCTCATTTTCTGCACTGCTTGGCCGAAGCGACTCTAGATAAGGTCGATCTGCAGCAGAATGGGCCCCTCTGGGTCTTCCAACTCTGGCTGCACGTCTACTTTGCTCCTCTTCGGCCAACGATTGCTGATTTCTCGCCCAGGGAAGCGCTCGACCTTCAATTGGCTTTTCGGCCAATTCCCCCTCACCAAGCCGAAGAAGTGTTCAGATACTTTTTCGTTCTCGACGACCTTTTTAATGACGAGTTCTTGATTTGTCGTCGTCGAGAATACCATTCGTCGATCAGACTTCCTACAACAGCATAGGGTGCGGACGAAGATGCTAACCTTCGTCAATCTTGGGGGTCTTTCGTACTTGCCCGCGACCTACCTCTCGGCTGTGAGGGTCGCCGAGCGAGTTGGGAAGTGTATCATCCCAACTTCCTCGCTCAGTAGCTTGGCTATCTCCAAGGTTGTCCAGTCCCTCTTCTTTCCTCAAGGTCGGTCCTAAGCCGCGGACGCGAACTTGACTCTTCAGAGAAGGAATGCACCGACGCCAAAAGGGAGTTCCAGGAGCGGTGCCAGAAATTCCACCTTCGACCGGCCACTCCAAAGACTATTTGCACTGACACATTCGGTGACTGGTGGGAAAAGTATACCCAGCAGTTTTTTGGTGTTCCGGTCGAAACCGTTTTGAATAAACTCTTCGGTGGTTGACCTAAGAAGGCTTCTGCCCCCCAAGCCCAAGGTAACGGTTTACTTCTGCCTTTTTCCTTCAACCTTGAACTACTGATTTGCTTTTACTTTCTCAGGTAGCCGGTTGTTGAAAAAAGTGGTGGTGGTTGCTGCCGCTGCGACCGAGAGAAAATTGGTCGTCTCTAAGAAAGCAAAGACTAATGCGCAGGCCTTGTTAAGCAAACGACCTCGTCGAGAAGCCGAGCCGACCACCGAACCTTTTCAGCCCGCCAAACGGATCAAAAAGCTGGCGAAGAAAGAAGAAAGAGAGATTCACGTCATCTCTAGTCAAACTACGGAAGTGACGACTCCCAGCGTTTCCCCTTCTCCCCCCATCGCCCAAGCCTTGGTCAAGAATCGACCAATTTCGGCTGAAGAAACCGTCCAAGCACGGCCTGTTTCTGAGGTCGGTAACCCAGTTGTTGTTCCCCTGGTCGAGGCTGCACCTGTCCTGGAAGAGGTAGTCCCTGCGACTGAGAGAACTTCTCCTGAAAATCTAAAACCTTCGGCCTTTGTTCTGGAAGAGAGTGAGAGGAGCGACGGGGTTCCCTAGCGAGTCACACTCGTCCACGCTGTCAACCTTTGCCTGAGTCCGAGGCGGCTGTCCAAGTCAGCCCTCTTCCGGCCGACCGTGGCAAGCGACCGGCCGGAGAGTCAGCAGTGGCGGTGGAAACGCATGTTCCTTCACAGAACCAGGACCTCTACCCTGTGTCCGGAGCGACCGTCCAAGTCGGCCCTTCTACTGCCGATCGTGGTAAACGACCTGCCGGGGAGCCAGAAGCGACAGCGGACACACCCGTTCATCTGCAGGACAAGGACCTCAATATTCTTCCGTAGGAAGCCACTTCGGCCTTCGTAAGTACCTCCTACCCCCTTTTTTTTTTGGTTATTTTTCTGCCATAGAACTCTAAATTAGGAAAATACTAACTGTCAGGTGCCTGCACATTCTTTTCATCAAAAATTCTACGCGCCGAAGGGTGTTATCTATATTTCTTGGCCGCCTCAGTGGCCATCGAACGTAGATAACCTCCATCGGCCGCATGAACTGAGAAGCAGTCTAAGCTACTGGGCTCGGCCATTAAGTTATTTAGGTTCGAGCAACGATCCTGAAGACATGGCCGAAGTCTCATCTTGGCAGGTTAAAAGAAACAAAACCTTCTTGCTACCTTTTTCATGATTTCCTTGAGCTTAAACTGATTTTTGTGTGTAGGCTTC